CGCAAAACTTTCTGCTTTTTTCCCTTGCAAATTCCGATTTTATTCACACACTGCATTCTAAAAAAAAAAACAGATTTATTCTCTTTTTACGAGTACTTTATTCTCCTACTATGAAGACGTTTTTCTTGTAAACATAAAACTTAATTCTTATAAGAACTATGCTTGGTCTTGCACTAATTGCAACTCTATCTGCCAAATATTCAGATTTTTTTTCCGTATGTTTTTTTTCCTCAGACAACTAAACCTCTATTCTCATAACAATGACTTCAGCGTAAAATATGGATTTTCCACGCATTTTCCGAAGCATGACATTCGCCTTTGTTAGCGACATTCTCTCCTTGCATTGGAGGAAAATCTGTCTTCCGTCTTATCAGTCGCCCACCGCACCCTGTCGGTCCCTCTCCTCCAAAAGGAAGTCGCCTTGATGTTATTTTCATTTGTCATCCGTAGCAGATAACTGAGAAGATCTTAATACGTAATTAGACATCATGTGACCAGCAAATCATCACATGAAACCCATTTGTTAATGTGCCATACCAAAAAAAAAAAGAAAAAACTCCACTTGCCACTATGTTCTATTATTCATATTTTTTTCCTCAAACTTATGACATTGTTCTTGGAAAATTGGCCCTAGACTCCCGTAAAATCGAATGTATTTATTATGTATGAACCGGCCTAAGACTTCGCAAACAAACGTGCTTAGGACCCCGGAAGATGTCAACAAAGCCTGAAAAGTCTTTTTAATTTCTCGTAGTAGTATCAAGGAAGTAACAAAAAAGTTACGTTTGGACATAGATCATTTAATTGGATGTTTTTGTTTTTTTAACAAAACCTTTTTGCACATTGCACTTGCACAAATTTTTAAGACCTTATTATTCAATTTTATATACTGTATTTTCCACACTATAAGGCGCTTCGGCGTATAAGGTGCACTTTCAATGAATGGCCTATTGTAAAACCGTTTTCATATATAGGGCGCACCGCATTATAAGGCGCATAGAATAGAAGCTACAACAGTGGCTGCGGTTGCATTATGCATCCACTAGATGGAGCTATGCTAAAGGGAATACAATACAATACAGCTTTATTGATATCGCGCTTTCACAACCGCTGCAGCTGTAACAAAGCGCTTTACAGACCATTTAAAATACTACATCCAAGAAATCAGAATATTGATTCATGTATAAGGCGCATCGGATTATAAGGCGCACTGTTGGCTTTTGAGAAAATTGAATGCTTTTAGGTGCGCCTTATAGTGTGGAAAATGCAGTGTGTGTGTGTGTGTGTGTGTGTGTGTGTGTGTGTGTGTGTGTGTGTGTGTGTGTGTGTGTGTGTGTGTGTGTATAAAGACTCTTTAAACAGCACGTAATTCCAACCTTGTTGTGTGACGCTAGAGAGCAACATGTTAGCCTTCCTCTCTGTGAAGGTCCGAAAAGGTTTCTGGCTTTTGCCAGGTTACGTCAAGCGTTCCCACCCTTTATCTTAGCGCAAGTATTTTTGAAGGTTCGACGGTTGACAAGGTCTCTCGCAAGGTCCTGGGCACAATGTTAACGTTAGTATTTTGAAAGGTTTTAACATATGACAAGGTCCCCAGCAGTTAGTTGATGGCGTCACATGTTAGCATCCTTACACTTGTGTTGCAATGCTAGGTGGCTACATGTTAGCGTTACTATGTTTGAAGGATTTCTGGGATCACAAGGTTTCGGGCAAGTTCCCGGTCATGTCATGTGTTTCTCTCCTTATGTTTGCACAGTGGCTGGTACTTGGCTACATCTGAGCGTAACTATGTTTTGAAGGTACGGCAAGGTTTCTGCTAAGTCACGTGCTGCAAGGAAAGTTGAGCTCCAAATCAACCATTGTTCGGCTCAATGAGACCCTTGGCGGGTAAACAGCAATTTGGAACATGGAATGTGCGACTGTTTAACGTAAAGTCAGGAAAACAACAAAAAAAAAAAATGCAAACTTTTGACATTTGATTCGACGGAATCCATATGGTTTCAATTCATCCCGACTGTGTTTTTCTTCTTTTTCAAGCGAGACCAGAGTCCTAAAAGGAAGGGGGGCTATTGTGGTTTTGTCAAGGGAAAGAAGGGGGGGGCTTACGATTCCTTCTCGTCAGTGTTGGAGAGACTGTATGTATCCTCGGGAGGGTTTCCATCGCAACAGCTGCCGAATGAGGAAACCTCCCCCTCAACCCCCTTCTTCTTCGTCTTCTTCTTCTTCTTCTTAGTCCAGTGCCATGTCAAATTTCAGGGTTTTCCCCCTCCCTCTCTTTCTTCGACTTGTACAGACATGGTTGGCCTGACTTTGGGTGGGGAATGCTCAGGTATGCGCACGTCTACTTTGCCTTGCGTGCCGCTCGCCGAGCAGTCAAGGGAACAATGAGTCTCAAAAAGAGACTTTCCTTCAAGCGGACGTGGAACTTCAACACTGTAAGTAAGCTTTTTTTTTCCCCCTGCAGTTGTCAACTCCTCTTTTTTTTTTTTTTTTGGTTGAGTCAGCCGTTTTTCTTTGTGGCTCATCCCTCACTCGGGAACAGCTGTTTGAAGTGGCGGGGGCTTGTGGTTATTTGTGTCACTTTTTGGGTTGACTCTGGATACATATTTATCTGTTTTCTTAGTACCCAAATCATGCCTCAACAAGCCCAAAGGAAAACGCCAAGCGACTCTTCCAGAGGTGCTAACCAGTTATAGTATTGTCGAAGTTGACTTGTTTCCATCGGGACTAGCTTGTTTTTGTCAGGGTCTTGCACGTTCCTTTGGCGTGTCGTGTCTGGGTACACCAAACTCGCAACCACAGAAATGCTGGAAGTGCGTTGACCAATTTATTGAGATTTAACCCATTTGGTGAACTTTCTGTGTGCGTGTTGGGGGGAATCAAAGGTCCAGTCCCCTTTTCTGTAGCCACCCACTGTGGACCAACTCATCACCCAAGGCATCAAGAGAGGAAGGGACTGTGTGGGCAAAGAGGGGCGGGGGGCAGGGGGGCAGATAGTGTGCCCTGGGTCATCACTTAGGGGACAGGGGCGGATGTGTGTGGTCCCTTCATGAATAAGTAGACCTCAAAGCCGATGCAAGTTGTGATTTCTACCGCACTTGCCGCATTATAGACGGGCCGAGGGAGGATTCTGAGAGGTCGTTTCACCGGATTTGTCAATAACATGATATGAAATTAGAAAAGAAGCCATGACATCATCAGCTGACTGCTTATCACGGGATGCTCGACTCCTACGAGTGGATGTCTTTCACATCCGTCATCTCGGTAGGTCTCGCAAGTTCTCAACATTCGCCTTTGCGTCGCTCAAAAGCAAACAGCAGATCACAAGTGTGATGTCTTTCTTCCTTAAAACCTATCACAGTCATTATGTAGTTACGGTTTGAGGTTTGGGTTGTTTTTAGCTCCAAAGGGACATGCAGATGGTCAGTCTGTGTTCTCCTCAGCCACTCTGCGCACATGGTGTGGCTTCCACGGAAGGTGGGGCAGGGGGAGGTGGAAGGGGGGGGCGGTTCCTGGGTGTCGACTACACGGGGTTTGAACACCGCAGCTGGAGGGTTGTAAAGAGGCTACGACAGACAATTAGCGGTTTAGTGGGTTGCGTCTGATGGAGCTTTCACATGTGGTCACAACCCCAAAACAGAACAAAACGTCACACGATGGGGGCTCAGACAGCGCGATGGCCGCGACATGTCTGAACCTGTGCCGTGGCTCGACGGCGTTTTGAAAACAGCGTATTGAGTCTCAAATTTTGGTTTTGACTCTTGCCACCACCCTTGCGCTTGCATCATGATGTAAGGTGGCTGCAATTTAGCGTGACTCAAGGCAGTCCCCAACCTCTGGGCCAAGCACCCGCCAGTAAAAGACACGCCTGGATTACAAACATGCCAGAATATCCAGAGATTGCCGAACAAAACACTGAATCCCTTTACCTTCATTTCCAACATCCAACTTTTTTTTCCCCGGAAATGACGGTAACCAACACTACACTCTGCAGTAGCCTGGACATAATGTACAAAACACAGTTTGCATGCCATCCTCTCCCATTAACCAAGATGTTATCTGCTCGTTCAATTGAAACATGCCGAGAGGCTCGTACAGATTACGACAACTACGTTCAGCAAAATGGCTGGTCAGAGTGTGTGCCTGAATACAGTGTTTCCCAACCTTTTTTTGGCTTGAGCCAGGGCACGTACTCCCAAAAAGTTCGGGACTGTTTGGGTGCAATTTCAAGATGAAACAAAAAAATGCACAGCAAGGAGGAACTTATTTTTACAATCTCACCTTTGACACGGACAACTTGAAAGCGTTTCAGTATTTTTTTTTATTTATTTATTTATTTATTTATTTGTTTTGCACAAATCGCTCTTCTCGATCTGCTGATGAGCAAAATTCTTTTTTTTTTTTAAATTTCTCAGGATATCCCCTTCCATGTCCTTTGGGATTCTTCTCGCCTTTCTACATCTAGTTAGAAATCTCAAGGCACACACCAACAAGCAAACGTTGGCTACACAGATTCTCGATGCACCTTTTGCCATGTAGCGGCTGCCACTACATGTCACTGTCCAAGATAGATGGACAATGATCCATGATTTGAAGTAGATACATTTAAGCTACACGGGGGCTCTCTTTCTACTTGCCCTTTTCGTTGAGGGCATGTCCATGTGCACATAAAAAAAGACTCAATGGTGCAATTAGCAAGTGAATGGATGACCATTAGAGCGGGTGATGGCCCCTCTTGCGAGAATGCTTACTTTCAGGGCTCTGAGGATCAAATCAAACAAGCCGGGGTGTTGGTGGGAGGGTGGCTCTTATGCCCCACCCTCTTCCTTGTGGAGGTGTGAAAAAGTGTTAAAGAGGTCATCCCTCCACCCCCTTCGTACAAATTAACACCAATCTCCACGGGCGAAAGCGCTGAAATGCCCGGAGACACGCTGCTGTCTGCACACCCTGCAGGAGGTCATGACGGCAGCCTCTCACTCATGTCTCTCTTTGTTCTCTTTCAGTCGGCGGCTTCCTCGGACGGTGGTGAGTACCGAACTTTTATTTGGACTCTGTTAATGTCTGCCTTCTTGATTTGGACTGACTCAGGTTCGTCAAATGGCCATTTTGTGTTCGCTCGAGTTCAAAATTCCAAGCAAAAAACAACCGTGCGAGACTTTGAATTTTGTTTTTTTAAGTCACAACCCAACACTTGCGATTCTACTCTTGTCATTCGAATGACCACTTTGTATCTGCAAACAGTTCCACTCCCATTCCTATCGCTCTATTGCCTTGGGTAAGATGATCTGATTCAGCCCGCTGGAATGTTCCCAACAAATCTTGCTGTGCAATCAAACTTGAATGACAAAGGCCAATAATGCTAAGTGAGTTGCGTTGGCTGGCCGTTGCTGTTGACGACTATTCAATGTAAAAAGGTTCTTGAGTTTGGTAAAAAGTTTAAGAAAAAAAAAGTCAGCTTGTTTTAGAACTACCACATAAATTAGTATTTTTGCAGCACCGTGTCATCTCTAGTTCATCCTAATATGGAAAAAAAACCAAAAACAAAACAATATTCACCTGAGCAAGTAGCAAAAGTAGATCGTCAATCTCATGCGTGTGTTTTGAACCTTGCAGATTCCAGTGGCGTTCAGTTGCAGGGATGCTGCAGCCACAGCAGCTTGAACAGTAACGGCAGCCTTCCGGGTGGCCACCGGGGGCTACCGGAACAACGCGTGGCCAGCTGGGCCGCGTGCTTCGAGCGCCTTCTCCAGGACCCTGTGGGCGTCCGCTACTTCTCGGTATGCGCCCGCAAAGTGCCCTCCCCCCGCCCCCTCTATTTCTTTCGCTAGCACCACCACGCCATTCAAATGCAGATTTAGCACATTTTTGGGTGGAAATTAGGATTTCCATTTGCCAGCAAAATGGCAACTCAAATACCAACGAGGCACAGGAATGATAACGTTTCTCTGCTGCTTTCGCCAGCACATCGTTTCAGAATTGTTGACCCAAAAATCCAACAAATCGCATTCACACCTTTTAACACACATCTCACGAAGCCAGGACAACAATGGACACGCTTCTGCTATTTTTACAGAGCAGTTTTGCTGATCAGTGACTTCATTTGAGAAGCGAATTTCTCTCCACAGTCCAGTCTTTTACGAGTTTGCTAAGGTGAATGTTCTCCGCTTTAATGCAGTTCTAGCCAGACATCTGTGAAAAGTGTGCTGAATTGCCCAAGCACTTGATTCTGGTGTTAAACACACTAGCCATGTAAATCTAAGTTATCTTAGAAATCAGCATGCCTAAAAGAGGAGGGGCTGATAGAGCAAAAAAAATCTGAACATCACTCGTCAATCTGGTGACCGGTGGTGATGTTATTACTTCGGCTGCTAAATGCTATCTTGGTTGACAGTGCAACAGTTGCTAACACGTTGATACATTCACCAGATACGCTCCCCACCTTAGGAGTCACACCACAACATAGCTGCATGAGGACCCAGCTGAAGCTTGCCACTAGCTAGCTGGTGCGGCTTAATTAAGTAGCGACTCGAGCCTCCGACAACCCGCAGCAGGTGCCGTGAGACATGCACGTGCGTCCAGCCAAACGAAGACATGCACGTGCGTCCAGCCAAACGAAACGTTTTGTAACGGCAGTTGATTTTCAATTTTGCTGTTAAGTGTATTTTGATGAAGCGCTAAATGCAAATGTTGCTCTGCGAAACCGCTTATTTCGTGCCTTATATGGTATACATGTTTTTTAATCATACTCTGGGCTGACTCTGGGTCGCAAATCAACCAAATTCTTATCTGAACTCATCTGGCTCATCTGTACTGCGGAACTTATTTGACCCCTCCTTTCGCCAGCGTAATCAATAACGCAGGAATGCAAATAAAGTTAAGCTTTAACAGGCTTTTGGAACTCAAGTCATCATTTATGTCCCCGCAGGAATTTCTCAAGAAAGAATTTAGTGAGGAGAATATCTTGTTCTGGCAAGCCTGTGAATACTTCAGTCATGTTCCTGCGAGTGACAAAAAACAGGTATGTCCGCCGTATGTCATCACCCCGCCGCATTCGCAAAGATGACCTGAGGTGTGTTTCTCATAGCTGTCCCAGAGAGCCGGCGAGATCTACAACAGCTTCCTGTCCAGCAAGGCCACCATGCCAGTCAACATCGACAGCCAAGCTCAGCTGGCTGACGACGTCCTCACATCTCCGAGGCCCGACATGTTCAAGACGCAGCAGCTACAGGTACCAGCTCTTCGGCCAACACGTTTCTGGGTCAACGTTAACAAGATGTTCAAATACAAGCCCGGTTTGGGTTCAAAATGAACCAAATGCTAAAGTGAATTTGCCCACCAGGACTGGCCTTGTTCCAGTCCAGTGGAACCGATTTTCTCCTCATGAGGCGGTCTAACAATGAAGCGTGCACGTTCATGCACACGAAAGGCCTAACGTGCCCTGCGCCTTCTCCATTTGCAGATCTTCAACCTGATGAAGTTTGACAGCTACTCCCGTTTCCTCAAGTCTTCCCTTTACAAAGAGTGCATGCGTGCGGAGGTGGGTGGCCTCCCTTTGCCGGATCCCTACCAGATCCCCTGCAGTCCTGCGGCATCCAAACACAGCGCCAGCTCAGACCGCTCCACCCTTTCCACTCCCAAGAAGGTGCTTATTTTAATAGATTTTTTTGCTGCCGTATGATATCAGTTGAGTTGTTACATCATTTGCCGTCTAATTTTGCAGGATGCCAGGAAGCAGCGGTCCGGGAGGTCGCTCAATGAGGACAGCAGAGACGAAAGTGCCGACAAAAAACGCGGCATTTTCTTTTCGTGGTCTCGCAATCGGAGCTTTGGCAAAGGTCCCAAAAAGAAGGACATTGGTGACATTAACCTCGGTGAGTGCCACACACAACTTCAAGAAAGGACTTTTTTTCCCCCTCTAAAGGGGGATTCTCCTCTTTCTCTCTGCAGACTATTGGGGTAGTAATGGCCGAAGGGAGTCCCAAGGCTCCTTGTCTTCCAGTACCAGCCTGGAGATGCCCACTTCCTGCTCTGCTGGCAAGCTGGAGGTAACATTTCACTGTCAAATCACCATGGCAACACACAGAGCCAACTTTCTTTTTTTACATTCTTCTTATTTTCTAGCCCACTCAAATTTTTTTTCTTGGCGCACATTTAAGCAGCAACAAAACCACGTACTATAGGACATTACAGTATGACCACACGCGCACTTCCAGGTGGTGAAATCTCAAGCTTTCTCTGATGGCACCATGAGTAAATAAAAACTGTTATGTCATTGGACTAAGGCAGAGTCATTGTGAAACAGCTTGAATGATGATTTAGCCTTTGCCTCTACCACTGCAGTGATAGAAATTCATACTGAGTGAACATGGCAATTATCCATCCATCCACTTTGCGATCCACTTTATCCTGACACTGGTCGAGCGGGGGGGGCTATCCCATCTGTCTTCGGGCAGTAGGCGGGGGACGCCCAGAACCGGTTGCCAGCCAGGGAACACATCGACGAATAACCATTTGTGCTCACAATCATACCGAGGGACAACGTAGAGCCTACTTTGCTTATTTTTGGAATGTGAAAGGAAATCAAATTCCCAGAGAAAACCCACGCAGGCACGGGGAGAACATGCAAAGTCCAGCCAGGAAAACCAGGGCCAAGATTCAAACCCACGACCTCTGCACTGTGATGCGGACGTGCTAACCAGTCAATCACCATGCCGCCACTGCTTAATTAATATTTTAATATATACATGTTCCTTTGAGTGGAAAAAAATGTAACCTGGTGCCAAGTGTTTTCAAACAAACTGGTCTGCAGTATGGCAAGGATGAAAAACATGAACCCCCCAAATGGTTTTGTACTCACTTGCAGTCAGACAATCGACACTCAATGGGTGCGTGGGAGCGCTCCCCGAAACACTGCAGTGTGACGCTACCCAATGGCTCCTGCTCCTCCATCACCCTTCGGCCCGGCGCCTCCATTCGGGAGGTCCTACAGGTTCTGTGTCACAGCATCAATGTCAACATGGCGGCAGTGGATCTCTTCCTGGTGGGAGGCGAAAAGGTGACCGAATCAAGGCCAGGACGCATGAAATATATACACCCACACGCACACCCACATACGTCTGCCATAATATAATCTGTGACACAGATAGAATTTTTTTCTCAATACTAATGAATAAAATGCATTATTATTATTACTAATTTCTTTTTATTAAAGCCTTTAGTATTGGACCAAGACTGTATGACCCTCAGCTCGCGAGATCTGCGACTGGAGAAGAGGACCTTGTTTCGGTGCGACAACCACCATGACACGTCTTTGTATCAGGTGCATGTTGACTCTTGTGACGATTGTGTTCGCTCTCCTTTTAGACTGGACCTGGTGCCCATTAACCGCTCGGTGGGGCTGAAAGCCAAACCCACCAAGCCGGTCGCTGAAGTTTTACGCCCCGTGGTGGCCAAGTATGGCCTCCTGCTCACTGAACTGGTGGTGAAAATAGTAAGTTGTGTGGGCTTGGAGTGCCACAGGGTGGAGTACCAGGGCTACAATTACTCCTCGTCACCCGTGGGGTTTATTTGAGTCCTGTGGCTTCCTACTTTTATCCCGTGTTCTGCCGGCACTTCAAAAGCGTTGTGTCTGCTTTGTTGTAGAGCGGCCAGACGGAACCTTTGGATTTGGGTGCCCCCATATCCAGTCTGGACGGCCTGCGCGTCGTGCTGGAGCGCATCGACTCGGCCTCAGCGAAAGGTATGGCCTTGAGCTTTTGTCAAATAGCGGGAACCTTTGTCATTCTGTTGAAGAGAAAAACATATTATTATTATTTGTTCAAAAAGATAAAAACAAGAGAAATCATTTCATATTTCCAACTGTTTAAAACTTCATTGATACGATTAGACCCTTTGTGATAGTACACTTTTTTTTTGACAAAAAAAAAATCTCTACAGAAACAGTCTATGAGTAATAGTATAAAACTAACGCCTGTATACTAAACACCTTCCCTCTCACAAACTCTCTGCAGTTGAGTACACAGTACATATGTACTGTAAAACACTAAGTAACAAAAAAATATTCTATATTACCAGAAAAAAACATGACACAAACAAATGCCTCCCTTTGTGCTCGTGTAAATACCTGAAGAAAAATACCTGACGATGCTCCAGATTGGCCCCGCGTTTTGCTCCTAAAATTTGATAAGATGCAGCTAAAGTTGACATCTACTTGCGCATGTGTGGCCAATACATTTGATGATTGTTGTTTTTAATTCTTAATTTATTTATTTTTTGTTGCTGACAAATTTCTGCTCTACACTTACGCCCGTTTATCAGTACTATAGTGAAAATTGGTGGAAATGTGATTTTTCACAGTGCAGGTTGATTTATGATTCATGCGTGCGCCCCTCAATGTTTTAATGTAGAAAAATGTGTAAAATTTAAGGTCTACCTCAGATAATTGCCCAGTTAGCACTGCAGCTGCGTAGCAATAAACAAAAACGTTTTCTTTTCCTTTCTTTGTAAAACGTAACACTGCAGAGGCCTGTCCTCTAATTAACATCAGGTACTCTTTGCAGTTGATTTAAAAACAAAAAAGAAAAATACCAAATATTGTAGAAAAATATGCAGCATGGGTGTCAAACCCAGGCCCGGGGACCAGATCTGTCCCACAATGTCATTTTTGGTGGCCCATGAAGGCAAATCATGTGTTGACTTCATGTTTGTTGCAAATTGTCGTAACGTTTAACAACAGTGAAGATATTGAAGGATTTTTTTTAAACCAATAAACCGATTTAAATAAATAGAAAAATAGCTGATCAAACATTTTACCGGCTTCTAACTTCAAAGGTAGTGACCCATCAATTTGTTGTGATGTGATAATATAAGACGATAATAGATTTCAATGGGTTATTGTAGGTAAAGAATATGTACATGACAGGACTGCCTGTACTAAATCTTAATTTTGCAAAGAAACGCTCAAAATGGCAAGGCTTATATTTTGGAATCTGTTGCCAATTTGTTGAATAAAACAAAAACGTTCATTTGACTTTTGGCATGAATGGACTCGAACGGAAACGTCTCACGTGTGGTTTGTGGCCCACAGACACAGCCAAGAGCGCCTCACTCAAAAGCCAACCGCCGACCAGGAGTCTTTCGGGAACAGTAAGTCCATAGCGTCTCCTTCCGAATTGGCCGTTGGCCGTCTCCATTCACCCACATTAACATTTGGGCCCATGCGACGAGCGGGGGTTTCCTCTTCACCCTAACGTGGCTGACTAACCGACTCGCATCCTTGCAACGTGGCGGACGCCGGCGAAGGACGACGCAGTCCGATCGGGCCGCCCCCTTAACAGCGTTATCATTGT